CCACTCAAGCACACAGAGCGACGTCCGGCTTCAAGGTAAGCGTCAGGTCAAGCTTGTTTGAGTGTGTTATGCCTGTCGGTGAACTCGAAGCTCTGTAGCGAGGGTTCATCCGGCAAGGCCAAGAGACTTTGTGTATTGGCCGATTATTATCGGGAGGTTTTACGTGACGGCTTATTGTTGCCTATTTGCACGACTGGGAGTGCTTGAATTGCCTCCCTTTTATTTCTTCCAGCCGAGTGTTGAACACTCGGTGATCTCGTAAAAGGCTTACCCGTGCCTGGTACCCTTCCGCTGTTGGGACCACGAGGATTCAAAACACCTGCTAGCTTTGCTCGTGCTAGTAGCGTGTTCTTATTTTACTGGTTGGCCTATATAAGTAGTTTACAAGGTCCAGTTTGTCCCGGTGCAAGGGCAGAACTGGGGTCTTCAGGTCCGCCCGAACGATCGTTTACTATCCTAGTAGACGTATTGTTGTGGGAACATCCTAACTACATCTGTAGCTAGAGTTCACGTGGGATTTCCAACACCACACACACGCCCCCACCGAGGCCGACTGGAGGTTGGCGAAGAGAATTGCTAAGTATTTAAAGGGGACGAAGAAGTTGAAGTTCCTAATGAACACCAACAAGAACACAATGAACAATGATGGGGTGCTGGTGGAAGCGTTCAGCGATGCAGACTACGCGTCCAACAAGAAAGACAGGAAGTCTGTAACAGGAGGAGTACTAATGGTTGCAGGAGTGATAGTAGTATGGCTGTGCAAGAAGCAAGCGTGCGTTGCACTGTCGACCATGGAGTCAGAGTTCGTGGCAGCATCACAGACAACTGCGGAGATGCTGGGCATCATGGAATGTCTCAAAGAGGTAGGACTAAAGCTAATGGAGCCGTCAGTGCTTCATGTCGACAACCAAGCTGCAATAGCTCAGTTGGAGGGAGAGGATTCGTCCGGACGTGCCAAGCACATTGACACGCGTCACAAGTTTGTGAAGGACTTCGTACAAAAGAACGTGCTACGGGTGCAGTATTGTGAGTCCGTGAAGATGCGTGCAGATATCCTGACGAAGGTTCTCCCCGCGCCACGCCTCAAGGAGCTGCGTGAACTGGTGATGTTGTCAGGATGATCGCCCGGGAAGGAGTGTCGGAACTCACAAAAGATCTACATGAGACCAAGAGATGCTGAGGAGTCACGCACGCGGATGAGATGGTGAAGATCTCGTCATTCATGAGAAGGTGAGCGTCAGCAGAGAAGGTGAACAGGATGAGCAGTTAGGAAACCTCTCGAAGGAGAGAATGCATTTTACATAACAACTAAATTCAATCAGTCTTCAATCTACCACGCCGAGCACAAGCGACCAACATGAAGAGTTAGAGAGGTCGAGCTTGAAGAATCAAAGAGGCCCACCAGGCCATCCACAAAGCCGGCCGCTAAACGCCGGCTATTGACGAGCGTCACCGTCGATCCATGCATCGAAAGTTGCCGCGGATTAAGATGCGGTGCGTCAAATAATAACCAAAGTGAGCGCTATGACAAAATTGTATTTATCGAAACCGAAATATTATGTTAGCCAGGCGGTCGTCTTAAACTGCAAAGATCATCACAATATCTTCCTCGAATGCCTCTCCAGGTAAGTGACCTTCATCACCCCAGTGATATCCAACTAGAGGTGGTTCATAAAGCGGGACATCTGTCATTTGCTCCAGCTCGCAAATACCTCACCGTATCGAATATAATGCATTCTTCTTGGTTTATGTCGATGAAGAAAACTCTGTGATCAATCGATTTCGGTGTGGATGTATATAAAATGCTCCACGATGAAGTCGGAATAGTGAAAAGTCAGCTGAGCTATCGGTGCGAGCATTGCTTGCCAAGTAATGGGTATTCGTCGAATCAGCCCACAACCACAACCCAAACGGAGATGACCAACGTAGTATAAAAAAAAACGATCTTTGTCGGTCTGCCGACTAAAAAAAACAAAAGCGTTGCTAAATGTGCTTGCAGTTAACTACGATCCCAGCTCTTAATCGCCACTGCTCTCTCCATGGTTTGCTTTCGTGCGCGCCTAGATTGAAGCGCTGTCGTCTTCAACTGCCCTCGTAGGAACTCTGGTATGTCGAGCACTGCAGAACGTGACCAATCAGCACTCATGATGATTGAGCTCGCTTTAGCACGGCGCCGCACTTACATCCTTGTACTTGCCACTCCTTACAATACTAAGCTAAGATTTGGGCATGAGGTCTCCTTTCCGCCCATGTTGCACCATCATTGAGGGCAGCAAGCTGAGTGTAGTCGCTAGAAGTAGCATCGCCACTAGCGACATGGTTGCCGATTGCGAATTGCATTACTGTCCGTCAGCCCACAGAAGATTGCAAAATGGTGGGGAAAATGACAATTGATATGGCTACACTCATAATTCAGTTTGTATTTTTTTAGTCCTATTGGGTGCATTTGAAGCAATTACGATGCATGCATCTGTAACAAGTTGATGACGTGGTCTACCGACGATCTTCCGGAAGCGTGTACGTTGGCACGTAGACAGCTTCAACGTGCAAAGGGTGCGACCAAAGGGCGGAAGGAGCCCAACGGATTCAACGGACACACGGTTAGGACGGAGATCGCAGACGGCGAGCCGTCGCGACCGGTGGCGTTAGACGGCAAGAAGAGCAAGGAGGTGGGTACTTCCGAATTTGCAAAGGACGAGACAAGTAGATTGGGGAGTGTGACGAGAGACGAAAGACGGTCGAGGGCTGGAAGTTCAGTCAGCGACAAGACAAAGACGAACGAAAGGGCTGTTGAGGCACAGAGTGTGGCTGACAGAACGTGCGGGGTTGTGGTGGACGCACTGCAGTACCGTGAAACGGAGGACAAGTAATAATAAGTGAGGTGTATTGTGTTACTGGCGGACCTTGATTCACCTGAACTCTAATACCCATTCTCGCCAGACTAGTCTTGTTCTGCCGAGTTTCCCTGTCTACCTTGGGGTTTTCGCCTCTGCTCCCCCTTCTCTTTCCTCATTCTACTTCATCAAAGTCCCTTCATCTCTTCTTCGCTCTTCCCAATGACCGACATCGCTCTGCATGAGGTCTTGGATACTTGTGCTCAGCGGGTGTTCCCCCGCTTCGCCCATTGACATGTAAACTTTGCTCACCGAGTGATCCATTGCGTAGTTTGCCAGCCAGTCTGCCGCTTTATTGTAGCTCCGGTAATGATGCGTCCAGGACCCCACTCTGCACTTATCTGCCAGACGTCGTGTCATTCTGTGCCAGTGCAACAATTTTTTGGCCCTCGGCGGGCTCCGCCGCTTCATTATTCCCAGTATCATGGCGCTGTCTCCTACAATGTGAAGGCCGTACCATTGCATTTCTTGTGCTTTCTTTAACACTCTATGTAGACCGATGAATTCCGCTTGATTGTTGGTGACTTGCTGGTGGCCTAGAGACGTCGCCGCCGCCCAAATCAGCTTCCCTGTCTTGCGTAGTCCGTCGTACTCTACAATCACACTCCCACTTCCACCTTTCCCTGGATTACCGCGTGAACCTCCATCAAAGAATCCTATACGGAGGGGGTGATCGGGTTTATTCTCCTCCCCTATAGCCTCTCGTGCCGCTCGACAGTGCTGTACAATGTGACTAGCCGTCTCCAACTTCCACTTGCTTCGCCTTATGACCGGAAAAAGCGCTGTATAATACCTCTGCAGTGACTCAATAATTGCCTTGCTGGTTTGTCTTAAAAAACCTTCCGCAGTGATCATCGGCCCCTCTAACGGAGGACAAGTAGGATCCAAGGAGGAGAACGTACGGACAAGCGAAGCGACGTACGGTGAGACCAGACAGGGGAAGTAGAGTACCCGAGTTCGCTGTGGTGGCCGCGCACGAGTAGGGTAGGCGCCGTGGGCGTACGCCCAAGTGGCTTTGAGATTGAGCGTGATCTGGATCGCATCGGGACGTCACGGTGCTTCGGCGAGGACGTGGGTGATCTGACTGGAGACTATCTGTTCAGGGACGAAGAAGGAAGAACGAAAACGAAGAACGAACCTCTACTAGCTTACGTAAGGTTAGCTAAGGAGAAGGAATACAAAAAGTAGGAGCCAAAGGTTCCGGCACAGGGCTCAGTGGAGCATCTGTTGGCCAGTGACGTCTTCGAGTACTATCAAGTAACAACTACGGACTAGGGACAGACAGCGCAGCAGGCACATAAACTATACGATTTGCCCAGCGAGTCGGGCAGGAGGAATAGCAACTCGTTACATGGTGGTCATGCAGGGGCTATCTCAGAGCAACGAAGAGAGTTCAGAAAGACAGGAAAACAAACGGGCTAGTGGTTACGCTGGGTTACGAAGGTTACGGGGTACGAAAATGGTTACTGCTGCGACAGTCACTACTCCAAGTAAGAAAGCGCAGAAGGCGCGGCGGGTCAGGAAGGCCGGCGAAGAAAGTTCACTCAGCAGCACGGACTCCGAGTCTGGGCGTCCGGTGACGAGAAGCCAAGGCGTACGGAAGGTGCCCGTTCCGGTGAACACACGAAAGGGAGAGGACAAGCGGCAAGCAGCCGAGCAAGCGGTGGAACAGGCGGAAGCGAAGCCGGTGAAGATCAAACGGAGAGCGTCGGCGAATCAGCAGCGATCGACCTCGAAGAATAAGGATGCCAAGGAACTCGGACGGGTCATAGCCAATGATGAGAAGGACTGCACGCGGAGCCGCGAAGCGGAAAAGAGTGGCGAAGACGCGGCAGGAACGCAAAGTAAGGATATGATGGGCATGGCAGCCATAATGCAGCGACTGACGAGGGCAGTAGCCGAGCTACAAGCGTCAACCAAGGAGGTCCATGGAGCTGACAAGAAAGGACAACATGGGCATGCACGTGGGAAGTATCGACGCCGTGTACAGAGAGTGCGTCGTGTGCCCAGTGAGGATGGAGAGCCCGATGAACAAAGCAATGATGAGGACCAACATGGTGCGGAATGAATGGCCAGTACGGCCGTGAGTAGCGGCACTGCACCAAACAACCACGTGGACATGACAGCGATGGCGTCCGCCATTCAGACGTTGACGACCGTGGTCGCGAAGCTGCAGCCTGCTCCTTCGAGAACCCAGAGGTTCCAAGCTGGTCGACGAGTATTGCGACGCAGTGGATCAAGTGCTGGTGAAGCGCGTCACAACGGTTATAGTGGAGACAGCGGTTCGTCGTACTCCTGATGACAACGATAGTGGAGGCGATTACAGCGGGGTGAATCCAGATGGCGACGGCAGTAGCGGAGACGACAGTAGCGAACCAAGTGAAAGCTCGAGCGCCTCCAGTGATGGGTCAGCCGAGTCTGATGAGCAACGAGGGCGTCAGGAAAGCCGACGGCGACACGGAAGGCATGGGCGACATGTACGAGGAGAACGACGGAGGCGTCAAGTCCAACGGGAACGACATGAAGACTGTGAAAGACAATCCAGTCGCAGGAGCGTGAAGGACCTAGAGTTACCGACCTTCACTCCCTCGCCAAAGGTCTCTGTCTCGACGTGGATAGACAGGGTGGACTTAGCCTTGAAGGGAGCCGCTGAGTCTGGACGTGGGAAATGGTCAGACCATGCGTTGTATTTTATCTTAGGAAACAAGCTTATGGACAATGCCGCACGTTGGTGGGTGATTATGGATCGACGATTGCCATCACGTGACCGGACATGGGCCTACTTAAAGAAAGCAATTCTACGACGTTATGGTGAGAGGCTGGATAAGTCGGCAGCCGAATGGCGTGTGAACATGCGCAGGATGATGCCTGGAGAGACGTACTCTGATTTCGCGGCAGCATTGCGAGATGTAGTCGGTCGTAACAAAGTCAGTGAACGCATTCTATTGGCGCAGTTCTACCGAAATCTAGATAAGACTACGAAGAAATTGGTGAAACAGCGACCGAGGTCTGCAACCTTGGAAGAGGCTGTAGATAAAGCCAATGAAATCGACGATCCCATGGATAATGTGGCGCAGGGCATGCTGAACATAGGACAGCCGTGGGCCATAGCCCCAAGTCCTTATCTGGTACCAGTTGGTGGCACAACCGGCCAAACGTTAGTGATTCCGGGGATTGGCGGGACAGGTTGCCAGCAGAGTTGCAAGTCGCGAATGAAGGTGGGATGACAGCTGCGGAGGGAGAGCACGGCACCTTAGCCCTCTTTACGAACCCACAAGGCGTATGGAACGAGTATTCAGGCACGTGGGATGTGCCATCAATTCGCATATGGAATGGCTAGTTCTGGTATGAATTCAAGAAAGCCAGCCGGAAACGCTCTGCCGAGAATGCAGCCAGAAGCTCACGGAAAAAAAACAAGAAGCCAGCGAAGGCGCAGAAGACGAGAGTTGAACCGCCGACATCGAGCAGCGACGAGTCAGATGTGAAACCGCAGCGCAAGAAACATAAAGCCGCTGTACGACAAGCAGCAGTACCTCGACAAGAGCAGCGCAGTGGTAGTACACAGCCACCAGGGAAGCCGAGAGTACCGCAGAATTCACAAGCATGCTGGAAGTGTGGCAAGAATGGACACTGGGCAGCACAGTGCCCAACGGGACCCAAATGCTACGCATGTAATCAGTACGGTCATATGGCCAAGGAATGTACCGATGCCGAAGCTAAGGCCAAGAACGAGGAGAATCTACGGAAGCGTAAGACCGACAACAAGGTGGCGGGAAACGCGGAACCGGCGCAGTAGAGGGGTTACGGCGACCGGAGAATAACGATCCCCGGCTGATGATGAGTGCAGATGTCCAAGGTAGTGTGACAAGAGCTCAAGGAATGACGATAAACACCAACGTGACAACGGAGTCAGCGGAGATGAAGCAAAACGGGATACAGCAAGGAAGGTCGACCGAGTGTGAAGTTCGAAAGCAGAACAGGAAGTTAAAGGAAGACCAAATATCGGGAGACGCCACTAACGGAAAGGACGTGCAAGAAGTAACGAAGCCGATGGCAACAAGTGGCGCGGACTCGCTGGAGGAATGTGGCAGTGTATGGCTACCGAGGCAGCCGGGAAGGACAGTGAGCGGGCAGCTTGCTATGTAGCAACAGTACGTCCAGCGGTGACGGCCATGCGATATGCATGTTTGGACGCTACACGACCTTCTCTACTCGATAGTAGAGTTCGCATCGTTCACCGGGTTATTGATTGTACTGAGAACGGAAGTTTGGATTCTCGCCGTTGTACCAACTTGCCTTTGTGCTCGAGACGCAAGTAGCCACACTCCAAGGCCACCTCTTCCTGTGGATTTCGGTCATTTTGCAGATGACACTGGTGCATAATGGTATCTTGGTTTGCTACATTGATATTCGACCTTTATGCTCATGTGGGTTTTGTGTGCTGGCTGTGTAGGTGTCGATCTAGAGGCACCGTTCAAATTCAGAAGTTAAAATCCATGACACGGCTTTTCTAAGACAGCTATGTATTAAATTGAAGTAGCCTTCTCCGTGGCGGCCGGCACAACTCCGACCGT